CCTCCTTGCCTTTGCCACTGAGTGTGGCCAAGTTACAAAATTTTAACAATGGGATGTAAGAAAAATGGCATATGCAGCTTCAAGCTCATTTTTCTTATTCAGCCATTTTCTCTCTTTTCCATTTTCCCTCTTTTCATGGGCCAGAATGTCGATGTGATAGTGCAATCAACTTTTGACCATATAGATTAGAACCACACCCTAGGGGCTGGCATAACAAAAAACTCCGGAGTCTAAATGATCTTGTGGGGCCAAGCCTCCTCTTACACTGGACCTCTGGCCCACCTTTGGTCAGATGTACAATAAAGAGACAGATAAACTTTTATCTTGTATGGCTCACTGTAATTTGGAGTTTCTTTTTTACAGCAATTATAACTTGTGACCTAATTAACATATCTGACTACATGAATAATTTCAAAATACTCTAACTGTAATATAAAAGAGAAATAAAAGAAAATATATTTATAGTAAAATAAAATCTATTTCTATATGTGTATGCTTGGGAAACAGAAACATCTGAAGACACAATCAGAAAGATAAATGCTAGTCATCCCTATCCCTATGAATAAGTTTGGATATAAGTAAACTAAGATGGTCAAATTCATTCTGTACAGGATCTGAATAGAAAAATGTACCAGCAAAAGTACTGGTGGACATGAGAATAGAAACTACTTTTATATTAAGTACCAACATATCAGGCATTTTATATGATGAAAAAAAAAGAAACTAATCTTAATTGAAATAGAGATAAAATTCCAAAATACGTTATAGACTGACCAAGCATAGAAAATGAGAAGTATTGTATTCTACAAAATGAAATTGGCAGAATAATTCCCTATAGGTAAGATAATTCTCTGTGTACTGTGACATGAGATGACCTAGTAACAAAATATCTCAGAAAATATATCTCCTTTCTTGAAATCCCACAACATTCAGGGTCTAGTACTTGAAAATAATTTGACCATAACTTTTAATAGGTGAGAAAGAATATCTTGAGAAGTTGGAAAAAGAAGCAATAATGTCTTATACTACATCTTATGTAATAAAGAATTTTAAGGTAGACTTTGGGGACAGTATCAGAGTATGACTGGAAAACACAGACTATCTAAAAATAATCTCAATATGTAAATATTTAAACACAAGGTTCCTATCATTTTGTAAAGTGTTTACAAATATAAAGGGTAGCAGTACTATGAAATATTTCTAAATGTTTATTTTTTAGTAATACAAAGATTTTATGTATCTGTATTTAGTAATATTTGATTATAAGACTGTTAAAAGGCATCTCAAATTTCCTGTTACAGGTTTGTAAATGTTTTCCACGATTTCTCAGTAACCGCACTTCTATTCTTATAGCTAAATATGTAGTTAAATACATTAAAATATGTTGAGTAGAAAATAAGTTAAGTTATTCAGTAATTTCGAGAACAGTATGTTTATTCCATTTCAGTTTTGTGCTCCATAAAAAGCCTTCTAAATTCCTTGGCTTTTTGTCTAACATGTTATGTTTCAGTATTATTTTGTATTAAATCACTATACAATTACAACTGACCCTTGAGGAACACAGGTTTGAACTATACTTACATGTAGTTTTTTAACAGTACAGTATTATAAATGTAGATTCTCCTACGATTTTAACATTTTCTTTTCTCTAGCTTAACGTATTGTAAGAATATAGTATATTCTACATATAACATACAAAATCTCTAATAGTCCATTGTTTATGTTCTTAGTAAGGCCTTCAGTTGACAACAGGCTATTAGTAGTTAAGTTTTGGGGGAGTCAAAAGTTATATATGGGTTTCTGACTGCAGTGGTCAGTGCCCCAAACCTCTGTTGTTCAAGGGTCAATTGTATATCTGTAGTTTGTTGAGTCTAGCAGTGCATTCAAAAGTCATGCCAAATGTTGGAGAGTTTTTGTGATAGAGTTCTGTTCCATACATTGTAAGATACCTAGTTTCTTACCTTTGCCCAATAAAATGCCCTATATTCCCCCAAATCACTATAACCCGAGACAGTTCTACAAATTCGTAACACATCTCAGAGGATCATGTCTCTCAAATTATCAGTGTTAAAGGACTAGTTTTGTCCCCAATTTGCCCAAGATCTACTTCTATAACAAAATTAAAACAAAAACAAAGACAGGTTACTAGGAAAAAAGTGAAATAAAAAACAAATATGAAATATAAGTTCTCTTTTATCATTATATTCAACGTAAAAGATGACCCTGTGGAATTACTATACACATTTCTAAATGGTTCCTCTCATTTTTGGCTCTTATCTCATTGTAGACCAATAATAAATAGTTCTTAGACCAGCTCTGGTGCATGGACCAGATTTCAAACAGCACTGTCCTAAAGACAGTAGTATAATTTTTTATCAAGAATCACTGGTAAAAATAAAGCAGTATGATCATTTTTGAATCTAAATATCTTTTAGCAGAGACTAAAATAAACAATACTTCTCACATTAACAATCCTGTACCATCTCCCAACAGACACATGAAACGATGCTCAGCATCCCTCCTCATCAGGGAAATACAAATCAAAACCACACTGAGATACCACCTCACACCAGTCAGAGTGGCTAAAATGAGCAAATCAGAGAACTCGAGATGCTGGCGAGGATGTGGAGAAACGGGCACCCTCCTACACTGTTGGTGGGAATGTAAACTGGTACAGCCCCTCTGGAAAACAGTGTGGAGGTTCCTCAGGAAACTAACAATAGAACTCCCCTATGACCCAGCAATAGCACTGCTAGGAATTTACCCAAGGGATACAGAAATGCTGAGGCATAGGAGCACATGGACCCCAATGTTCATAGCAGCACTCTCCACAATAGCTAAAACATGGAAAGAGCCTAAGTGTCCATCAACAGATGAATGGATCAAGAAGATGTGGTTTATCTATACCATGGAATACTACATGGCAATGAGAAACAATGAAATCTGGCCATGTGTAGCAACGTGGATGGACCTTGAGGGGGTTATGCTGAGCGAAATAAGTCAGGCAGAGAAGGACAAATATCATATGTTTGCACGTATAGGAGGATTAGGAGGAACTTGACGGAGGAACAAGGGGGAGAAGAAGGGCAGAAATGGTGGGGGAAAGGGAGAGAGGCAAACCATGAGAGACTCTTGAATGCTGACAAAAACTGAGGACTGATGGATGTGGGGGGGAGGGGGGATGGGCATGGAGGAGGGCACTTTGGGGATGAGCACTGAGTGTTATGTGGAAACTAATCTGACAATAAACTATTTATAAAAAAAAAAAAAAGAATTAGAAAAATAGAAAAAAAAAAAAAAAACAATCCTGTACCATCTCACAAATTCCTGTCTAAATCTTCAGACATACACACAAGTCTTATTTCCTTTGGTTTTCTTTTTAATGTTTATTTATTTATTTTGAGGACCTGGGAGGGGGGGAAGGTGCACTCGTATGCAAGCAGGGGAGGGGCAGAGAGAAAGGGACAGAGAGAGAATCTCAAATAGGCTCTGTGTTCTCACTACAGAGCTCGAGGTAGGGCTCAATTCCACAAACTGTAAGTTCGTGACCTGACCCCAAATCAAGAGTTGGATGCTCAACCGACTTAGCCACCCTTTCTTTTCTAAAAGGTAACCTTGTCTTCTATGATATTGACTTCTTCTCTGCAAAGGTGCAGCAACATTATTTAGCCAGTAAAAAGAACAGACTACTTTTACAAGTCAAAAAGAGCAAAACAAAATCTGATTTTAAAAGGACCCATGATTTATACATATTCAGAATACAAAAACAATGCTCACTTCGTTGCTTGTTCATCTATAGGTTTGTGTCCAACATCGTTTCTGTTCTTCCAGGTTACACTCAACCTTTCCCGGGCCCACCCTGCATCAACACCACCATTCAACACAGGAAATACTACAGGGATAGGCTTTCCTTTCAATCACAATTCTTGTTATGACACAAATATGCTTCGGATTCTGGGTCTCCTTCTCTCTCTGTCCCTCTCCTGCTTGTGCTTCATCTCTCTCTCTCTCTCTCTTTCTCTCTCTTTTTTTTTTTTAACTATTTTTGTTAACATTTTTATTTATTTCTAGGAGAGAGAGAGACAGCGTGAGCGGCGGGGGCGGGGGGGTGGGTCAGAGAGAGAGGGAGTCACAGACTGAAACAGGCTCCAGGCTCTGAGCTGGCAGAGACCGACGCGGGGCTCGAACCCACGAACCGCAAGATCATGACCTAAGCGAAAGTCGGATGCTTAACCGACTAAGCCACCCAGGCACCCCTCTTTCTCTCTCTCTCTTAAAAATAAACACTAAAAAATGTTTTAAAAAACAAATTTTATTTAAAGGTTCTATGTTTAGATTTATACAAATGGCTGATAACTGTTCTCAACTTCAAGGTAAAGTCCATATTAAGCTGTGAATTTTAATTATATAAATCTTCCATGAGATTGCACATATCCCAACAAAATGGTATACAAAAATATTTCAGTATATGAGAGTATGTATGTGAAATACAACTTTTTAAAAACAGATTTTTTTTTTTTACCATTTCTTTATTTTTGAGACACAGACAGAGCATGAGTGGGGGAGGGGCAGAGAGAGAGGGAGACACAGAACACGAAGCAGTCCTAAGGCTCTGAGATATCAGCACCAGAGCCTGACGTGGGCCTCAAACCCACAAACCACAAGATTATGACCTGAGTCAGACACTTAACTGACTGAACCACCCAGGCACCCCTGCATGTGAAATATAATTTAAATAAAAGCAATTGCTTACTTGTTAACTTTAAATATTGCTATCATTCTAATTTCTGATAATTCTGTAACACTGATATAAGTAATCATAAAAATTAAATTTCTAGTGTCAACCTAAAAAAGGAAACATGCACTCAACTGACATTTAGAAGAAAATACTGGTTATATGTCATTTTGCTTTTAAATATTAATTCAATTTTCTTTTAAAATAGCTTTAATCAAATGGAATTTGAAGTCTGCATATTTTATATAATGAAACATGATCTTACCCTTTTCTTGGCTAACACAGCAACTTTGCCATCTGCTTTGGATTTATCTGTAAGATAATAAAGTATGGCTGTTTCAAAAAAGTGCCTACACTCTTGTTCAAATAAATGCAATATTATACAGTTAGAATTTTCTATTCTCTCATACTGTGATATGTGTTTTCAATGATTTTTTAAAATCATAATGCTATTAAACTCAACTTCTCAGAATTGAGAAGAATAAAATAATCCAAAAGTAATAATATTAGGGGTCTGTATACTTATTTGACAAGCCTCCTCTCTTAAATCTAATTGGCTGGCTGGAGGTTTTCAAGTTAGCATCTAGTGTTTCTTATTCTAGGTTCTGGTCAGCTCTGGAGTATACCAGGATCTGGAATGAGATCAAGCTATCTCTACTTGCACATCTACTCCATGCCAGACATGAATGAAGACCTTACATACTCAGTATCTTATTTAAACCTCATGATAAACTTGCAAAAAAATATGTGGTCCATTTCACAGCTAAGAAAGTTAAGGCTCGTACCCTGCCTGAGGCCATGCAGCAGGGCCAGACCCATCTAACTGCAAGTTGTTAATCTTTATGTCTGTAGCCTCCATGTAAGACCCTTAGTCAACACTCAGCAAGGAGGAGGATGATAAGCAAATAGCATATAGAAAACTATGTTAAGATATAATTTCGATATATGTAAAGCTGTGTGTGAATTAGTAAAAACTATTGGCAGTAATAATTAAGAAATTGTATTTTTTTATGGCTTCAATGCAGAATTCCAACTAAATGAGTTGTACATAGTATTCATACATATGTTTTGTTAACCTTCATATTGTGGTAATGAAAAATGAAGAGTGATATATGTCATTAATGATAAGGTTTTAGGGTTACATTTAATACCAAATATATGTATATTTAATGTATCAATGTAGGACTGTAATTCACAGTGAAAACCTACAATAAACAAAAATAATAAATATCCATGAATATCAGAGTAAATAAATGCTGGCTGTCTAAAAGCAAATTTTGCAGTAAAAGCTTATTGACATAAAGCATACAAATCCAGAGAAGCAGGTTGTTATATTTATACCTATCATTAGTTGGCCACATGTAAACTGCCCTCTTTCCCATGTTCAGTTGTGTGCTTAAAACAATCCCTTCTTCTGGAACGCTCTCTCTCTCCCCACTGATGAAATGTACAAGACCATCCACCATCACAGGTGACTCTTCCAACCAGAAGAAATAACCACCTTTGTTGCAAACTCACAGTCATCCCAGAGCACAGAACGTTCTTCCTTGTCTTGTGGTTACTTCTATATAGGTCTAAGCACCCTGCAAGACTAGAATGTGCCTTAAAGGCAGGGACTATGTTCTATATACAGTAGGCACTCAGTATTTTTTTGTAATTAATAAATGTACATGTATTTTATTCAAAATCTCATATAGATCTGAAATATACATTTTACCTGAACAAATCGATATAACTTATTAGTTAAAATACATAGAACATTTACATGGTGTAAGTTACTATACTAGACAATGTAAGATATAAAACACTGTATATGTTCTCAGACCCTGGGTCTCTTTATTGATAAACAAGAGTCCTAATTATTACCTTATTGGTATATTGTGAGATTCAAGTAATAGAGTTTATGTAAATAAAACTCCTAAAACAATGTCTGGTAGATAATAGATAATTAACAATGTTCTTTTACATTTAGCTAATAAAGACAATCTGAGGTGTGGGGATGTGTGTGTGAGAGAGAGGGAGAGAGACAGAGACAGAGAGAGAGAGAGCTCAACCCTTACAAAATTTTAGGAAAAATAGTTTAGTGATTATACACTTTACTATTGCATCATCTTGTTAAGTGATTCTATCATTCTACCATTTAAATAATTGTTTTAGTCTTTTTAACATAGTTGGAAATAAAATGATGAGTAATGACAAAATAGCAAAGATTACTAAAATTCCATAATGCATTTCAGATTTATAAAAGGGCCCTGATGATAATTACAAGACAGAATTTTGTTGAATCTAAATTTTTTTTTATCTTTCTTCTTCTGAAGACCTCTAATAATAATGAAAATCATGGTGAAATATCAATCTTTACACGTAGTTAAAAATGCACAAAAAAGAAACTTAAAACTAAAATTGGATCCAATGGACCCTGGTCATATACTGGTCTTTTTTCCAGTTAGTGATAAAAGGATACAATTTTGTTATTTTTCTCCTTAAAATATACATCATTCTTATGTAAAATTTCCAGTAGGGAGACAAATTGGGAACTGAAATATCCAAACTGTTGTTCAAGGAACTTTTTATGTTGAAAAGTTGCACAACCAGCGCAACACAGAAGTGTTTTGGGGGGTTATCAGCAGCCACTCTGATTTTCAAAGGGATTTGCCAAAGGGGAAGTCTGATGTAATGCTGAAAACCATTACAATCATTAGCAATTTTCCTATTAATAACAGTAGGTCCGTGTTCAACTTCAGCAACATTAAACACTTTCTAAGAGCTGAATTTTCCCTAGTGAGAGCGGTTTAATTTCCTCCCTTCAGAAATCTCTGCATGTAGGGACCCTCACACAGAGTGAAAAGCAGTTAACAGGAAATGTAGATGTGGATAATTAAAAGGGCTTTACTCCTCTTCTGGGCTACATCCACATCATAGTTTGAAAGTGCAAAAGAGGAGGTGCAGATAGAAAATGAAAATGTTCCAAATCAGTAGAGGTGGTTATGCCTCATGACTCATAACAGATGTTAAATTTTTTTATTTACAACCATATTAGAAAGGAGTACAAATATTAACATAAATCAATGGCTTCTTTAAAAAAAAATTTTAAAGCTTATCCATTGATGACCTCAGAAAATCTGTCAGTGTAGCTTCTTTAAAGGTGACAGCTGAAAGCATTTTCTTAAAAAGGTAGAGGACAGTCCAGTTTCCTGTCCAGCATGTAAAGAGCTTAGAAGTCACACTCCATCCTCACAACAAGTAAAAAGCTGAACAAATTGAAAATCAATAGCTCTTCTTAGATCCCTTAAAGAAGTTAGGTCAGAGGGCAAACCGCTGCCCCCAAATTTGGAGAGACAGGTGAGCACAGAGAATCACAACTCAATGGAGCATAAACCTCCACAGGAACGAGTGCTGGGGTAGGGACACATGAACTGTAACTGATGAATTGCTGGAGCCTCAGTGTGAGCAAGCCTGAGAGAGAAAAATTCTTGGGGGACCCAGTCATTCAGGAAGGAGGCACACTTTTGTGAGTTTACCTCCAAGAGCTATATTGGGTTCTCATACTAAAGACTGGAGAAAAACACCTTTGCGCTTCCTCAGTGGGAAGAAAAAAGTAACCATTTGAAATATGCCAGAGCATTCAGTTCTTAGCAGTTTGCCTTTAAGAAAAACTATTGTTCTATTGTACCAGAGCCTAACCTATTCTGGTTTTCTCAGAGCCTGGCCCATTAGTAGGGGAAGGAAATACCCAAATCTAGCTTGCGATGGTCTTCCATGCAAGGTAAGGGAAACACCAGCTCTGGCTCCCTTCTATCCATTAGGTACCATGTAAGGGGTGAAAAAAAAAAATGGGAAGCACTTGTGCAGTTCAAAGCCCAGGACTTAGACCTAATCATAGAATTATAGAATGCTTGGAGCACCTGGATGACTCAGTTGGTTAAGGGTTCAAATTCTTGATCTTGGCTCAGGTCATGGTCTCATGGTTCATGATATTGAGCCCCATCTCAGGCTCTGTACTAACAGGCAGGCTCTGCCTGAGATTCCCTCTCCCCTTCTCTGTCTCTCTGCCCCTCCCCGACTCACACTAGCACTCTCTTTCTCTTTCTCTCTCTCTCTCTCTCAAAACAAATAAACTTAAAAAAAAATGCCTTCCCTAACCCCACATGCCTTACCACTACACTGCTAAAGGTCTACTTACCACAGTTTCCTTTACCTGGTACATCACAGTTGCCTTTCCACAAAAAACTACAAAGCATACTAAAAGGCAAAAAACACTTTGAAGTGACAGAACAAGTATCAAAAACAGACCCATATATGTCAGAGATGTTGGAATGTTCAGACTGTGAATTTAAAACAACTATGCTTAATATAGTAAAAGCTCTAATGTCAAAAGTAGGCAACATTCGAGAACAAATGGGTATTGTAAGTAGAGAGATGGAAATTCTAAGAAATAATAAAAAAAGAAATGCTGGAGATTAAAAATGCTGTAACAGAAATGAAGAATACCTTTGACAGGTTCATCACTAGATTGGACACAGCTGAGGAAAGAATCTGTGCACTTGAGGATATATTAATAGAAACTTCAAAAACTGAAAGCAAAGAGAAAAAAGATTGGAAAACAAAACCACAAAAAGCATATCCAAGATCTATGGGAAAACCACAAAAGTATAATACATGTGTAATGGGAATGCCAGACAGAAAAAAAATAGAGAAAGGAGCAAAAGAAATAACTGAACCAATAATGACTGAGAATTTCTCCCAATTTAATGCCAGATAGCTAATAATGATCCAAGAAACTCAGAGAACAACAAGCAGGATAATGCCAAAGGTAAGCAATGATAGAAAATCAAAGATAAAGGTAATTTATTGAAAGAAAGAAATTTTCAGTGGGGGTGGATGTGCCTTATCTGTGAAGGAGCAAAGACAAGAATTTCATTCAATCCTCTCAGAATCCATGCAAGCAATCTATGAAATAATTAGTATTGAGAGTAAAAACCCACCAAATTAGAATTCTGTACCCTGTGAAATTATCCTTCAAAAATAAAGGGATATATACTTTATCAGGCAAAGAAAAATTGAGGGAATTTTCTACCAGTAGACTTACCTTACAAGAAATGTTAAAAGAGGGAGGAAAATTATATAGAGCAGAAACTTGGATCTACATAAAGAAAGGAACTGCATCAGAGAATGACTAAGTAAAGGTAAATATAAACTTTTAATTTTCTTTTTCTTTTTCTAACTGAAAACAATTTGTTCAAATTAATAATAGCAACAATATGTTCAAGTTAGGAAAACCATCTTCTTAAAAAGTATTTTTCTTAAAAAAA